AGGCGTCTCCCGCCTGCTCGGCCCGGGCCCCCGGTGCCGGTTTCCAGGGAATGGGGAAAATTTCCTCTCTCTTCTCAACCAGAGCCAAAAGCAAACCCTCCTCGAGATTCCCAGCGGAGCGCTGCGACCCACCCACTGCAAGGATCGTGCGAGAGGTATGTCTTGGAACAAAATGCGGTTTATTTCTTACTTTGTCTCTCTGTTACACCTGATGTCCTTCCATGTCCCCAGTATGACATCTCATGGCACGTCATAGTATGTTGCAGCATGCTGTATTGTGATTTGTATGTAATAGTGGGCATGTTATTTTATTGGGAAAAAAAAAATGCCCCAAAGGCAGCAGGCATCAATCTAGAAAGAAGATGGTTCAATCTGTACCATCAATTGCTCAGAATACTTAAAAATGAACCGAAGGACCAGAAAAGCTCAGGAACCTGACAAGTAAGGGTTACGTGCTTGGAGGCCAAAGCAACTTAAGTTCATCAGTTAGCAGGGCCCAGCTGCTTTACAGGCTAAAAGGTAGTATTTAGTATTTAAACAAAACAGGTGGATAGAAAGAATATCTTCTTGCAGGCAAGTGAGGGGGAGAAGGTAATAAAAAAAGTTTTGTTTTATTTGATTCAAAATTGTGCTCTGGCTGTGGGTGGGAGCCTGTGCTCAGTGGGCTGGGTGAACCCTGGCTTTGGGAAGGGACCGAGGCAGGGCTGGTTTGCAATCACGCTATTTTGGGGCCTGCTGCAAAAGTCAGAAGGCTTGTGTAGGGTTTGATTTTCAATATTCATATGGTCGTGTTCTAGCAGGGGTGAGCTCTCTGCACATGGCTGTCATTTTCACAATCTTGTAGATAAGCTGTGTCAGCACAGCCTTTATAAATCCCATTTTTACTAAAGTTTTATGATACAGCTGTAAATGTGTGCTCTGGGCTGGTATCTTCCATAGAGGGTTTTAGTGAGGGATCTTATTTTTAGAGGGTTGGTGCGTTTGTTTTCTATGCCTAAGATACACGATGAAAAATGTAATTTATAATGTGACATAATAAAAATGGATGATCTTTGAGGGGATAGCAGACTTACTCCTGTACCTACACAATATCTCTTTCGGTAACATTTTGATAATGATTTTTACATATGCATTATAGTGGTATGAGAGGTGGTGACAGTGTATCAGGCAGCGGTAGGAGCTGCTGTGTCAACTCTGACATCAAGACTGCTATTCGTGTACAAAGCAGTCAAGTTGGACAAAGAGGGAGGGAAGAAACACTCATTCAGCAAAGGTACATGGCTAGATTTTGCTTTTATTTATTCCACTTTTAGTCAGAAATAACCGAGTGAATTGGAAGCATCTTTGCTGAATTAATACATGTGTGAATGCTCTGAAAGTTTCAATGCTTTTACAAAATTAAACCAGACCTGAAAATAGCTGGGTAGCTTTCTCCTCTGAGAGC